TGGAGTCAACCCATGCTTCTGCCCCAGTTCCTGCTCCTGTCCAGGAGTCGTATTCTGGTAAGAGAAGGAGTCGCAAGGCCAAGCCAGCAGCCCGAGCCCCAAGAGCCATGGTTCCAGCCCCAGTCCTGGCCCCAGCAACCATGGTTCCAGCCCTGGTTCCAGCCCCAGCAGCCATGGTTCGGGCTCCAGTACAGGCCCCAGAAGCCATGGTTCCGGCAACAGAACCGGCCGACACAGCCATGGTTCCGGCCTCAGTTCCGGCCCCAGCAGCCATGGTTCCAGCTTCAGTACCGGCCCCAGAAGCCATGGGCCCGACTCCAGTTTCGGCTACAGGGCTGGTTCCCCAGCCGACGCCAGCTCCCTGAGTCTTGTCGGCGTACCGGCCGACTCCAGCACCTCGTCTCCTGCTAGCACTCCAGCCGACGCCAGCTCCCCCAGTCCTGTCGGCGTACCGGCCGACTCCAGCACCTCGTCTCCTGCTGGCTCCCCAGCCGACGCCAGCTCCCCAAGTCTTGTCGGCGTACCGGCCGACTCCAGCACCTCGTCTCCTGCTGGCTCTCCAGCCGACGCCAGCTCCCCATGTCCTGTCGTCGTACCGACCGACACAAGTCCCCTCTCAAGTCCCCTCTCAAGTTCCCTCTCAAGTCTCCTCTCCAGTTCCCTCTCAAGTCTCCTCTCCAGTTCCCTCTCAAGTCTCCTCTCCAGTTCCCTCTCAAGTCTCCTCTCCAGTCCCCTCTCAAGTCCCCTCTCAAGTTCCCTCTCAAGTCTCCTCTCCAGTTCCCTCTCAAGTCTCCTCTCCAGTTCCCTCTCAAGTCTCCTCTCAAGTTCCCTCTCAAGTCTCCTCTCAAGTTCCCTCTCAAGTCTCCTCTCGAGCTTCCTCTCAAGTCCCCTCTCGAGTTCCCTCTCGAATCACCTCTCAAGTTCCCTCTCGAATCACCTCTCAAGTTCCCTCTCAAGTCACCTCTCGAGTCATCTCTCAAGTCTCCTCTCGAGTCATCTCTCAAGTCTCCTCTCGAGTCCTCGCGAGTCCCCTCCCGAGTTCCTTCTCGAGTCACTTCCCGAGTTCCCTCTCGAGTCACCTTCCGAGTCCCCTCTCGAGTCTCTTCTCCAGTCCCCTCTCGAGTTCTCTCTCAAGCCACCTCTCGGTTTCCCCCTCGAGTCTCCTCTCAAGTCCCCTCTCGAGTCTCCTCTCAAGTCCCCTATCGAGTCTCCTCTCAAGTCTCCTCTCGAGTTCCTCTCAAGTCCCTACCCAATGTCCTGGTCCGTTGGAAGTTCCGCTGAGGGTCCTGCCAACCCTGTGTCCTCTGCCGTTGGAGGCCCCGCCGTCTACTCTTCTGCCGGGGGTCCTGCCAACCCTATGTCCTGTGCCGTTGGAGGTCCCGCCGTTACCTGTCTCGCCGGGGGTCCTGCCAACTCCTGGTCCTCTTCCGTGGGGGGTCCTGCCGAAGCCTGTCCCACCGGCTCTGGTTCCTGTCCGGCCGACACCGGGTCCTGACCGGCCTCCGGAGCTGTCCCGTCAGCGCCTTGCTGCCCGGCCTCTGGAGCTGTCCCGTCAGCGCCTTCCTGCCCGGCCTCCGGAGCTGTCTGGTCTTCGAGCCCGGCCCCCTGAGCGCCGCGGTCTTCGCCCTCGAGCCCGGCCCCCCTGAGAGCCTTGGTCTTCAGCCTCGAGCCCGGCCTCCTGAGTGCCGCGGTCTTCGGCCTCGAGCCCGGCCCCCCTCGAGCCGCGGCCTTCGCCCTCGAGCCCGGCCCCCTGAGTGCCACGGTCTTCGCCCTCATGCTCGGCCCCCTGACTCTTCCTTCCGCTGCCTTCACCCTCATGCTCGGCCCCTCCATGGACTCTACCTTGCCCCCGGGCCGTCCGCCCGAGACCCCCACCTTGGACTTTGCCTTGCCCCCGGGCCGTCCGCCCGAGATCCCTTCCGGGCCCTCCGCTGTGCTCCTGAGCTGTCAGCCCAAAACCCGTCCTCCAGACCCCCTCCACCCACCCTGGTGGCCCTAGTGTCCTTGTGTTTCTCCTCCCCGGCTGTTTCTCGTCTCGTGATTACCCCTCCCTGTATTTAGTCTTGTCTCTTCCTGTGTTCAGTGTTGGTTCGTCTTTTGTTGGTGACTGAGTTCACCGGTGGAGTGTTCTGTTTTGTCTGAATTAGTTTTTTTTATCCTTGAAATAAAAGTTTATCAGAGTTATCTGCATTTGGGTCCTGCTTCCTTCACTCAACCGTGACAGACTCTAAACTGGTCCAGGGAATTTTTCTTTTTTGTTTACAACGCACTGGAATGAGTGGCCTATACTTACGGACTAAAGTACGAGTAACAATGCTGCCACAGACTACATTGGAACCGTGGCAAGTCTCAACTGGGCCTGATAAACCTACTCTGTAGGTGCCTTCGCAGTAACACCTCAACGCTTCACCTGGGAAATAAAAGACAAAACGTTTGTTTAGTGCTGCATTTTCATGACTCCAAATAATAAAATAAAAAACACAAACACAGTTCAAGATTTATTTGATTTGTTGTTGTCTTTGTCATAATCATAATCATAAACAGGATTATTGCCAAGTAGATTCACACATACGAGGAATTTACATTGTCCATACATAAACACAGTTAAAGAAGGGAATATTGAACAGACAGGAAGTTATTTTCTTTCTCCTGAACATTGAACCCACCCTGGCTGACCACCACCAACACCATGAGAGCGAGAATCACAGTCTTCATGTTTTCACCAGTCTGTACACAAATCTGTGTATGGAAAAAAGCAAAGGTGAAAAGTGTGAGGAATGAAAAGCTACTTTTAATTTGAAGCGTTGATTAATTTGAAAACTCAAAGATATCTAACCTTGTATTGCCACACTGCGTTGTTGATTCTTCTGATCTGTGCTGCCAGCTTCCTTTTTATTTGGACTTGTTGGGCAATGTAATCAATCCATTGTCAATCATTCACTTTGAAATTCGGTAAATACATGCAACGCACAAGTTGTACTAAAAACTAAAACATTTTCCCATGAAATGTGGCACACTGTCATTTCATTGTAGGGTAGTATGCAAAGTTGAAATATCAGCATCATCTCACTTTACAATTTTTCTCAATTGCTAACACAAGTTTTTGAAAACACAGCCATTTTCTCCAAACACTTTACACAATTCACAAAACCACACACCCAAAGTGCAAAACACCTCATACATCCTGCAGAATGACTAACTGCACCCAAAACTACATACCCGACTACATACCATTGAACTTACAGTTTGTTCAGTTGCTAACACACAACAATCTCACATAAAGCATAATTATTTAAACTCAGACTCAAAGAGCAAAACCTCAGCTCAAATCTACAAAACTCTAAACACATTTTCAGCTCTGCACCCAATTTGCAATTCAACTTGGCACTTTTTGCAAAACACAGAAATCTGACATATTCACTTGTTTGCCATTTTCAAAACAATGCCATTAAAAATGCTAAGCATGAAGCTCAGCGTAAGTTCAACCAGGAAGACCGTATTTACTCTTCATTTACTTTTCCCATGTAACTACTCTCTCTCCTCTCAATAAGTGATCGGGGGCGTCACTCTCCAGTTTAACCAATCACTTCGCTCTATTCCCAAGAGCCTATCATAGCGCTCTGCCAAACCTTTTAAGTCTGCTCTCCCCCCTCTGACAGCTGTCATTTCAGGTGACTCAATGCAACCCTCCTCCACCCCTTTTCACCTCCCGTCCCCCTGAATCCAGGGTCAAGCCAAGCCACTCCTCTTCAGACCGACCCACCTATCCATTCACCACCACCAGTGTCTAGACCCCAGGGGGGTTTCATCGCATCGGTTCTACCCTCCCGAATGATACTCCTGCACAACGGGGCCTAATCGCCAAAATCACCATTACATTCATTTGTGTATCTCTGCAATAAATATGTATTCTTACATCAAAACCGTCTCTCCTGATTGAAACATGAACCAATCAACAAATACACGTGCCAAATGAACATAAACACCAAACTGCTTTATTGTTGACTCATCAACCAGGATGTCAACACTAGAAAAAGGCTTCATGTAAGACATTTATAAAAACAACAATGGATATATGGACAGCAGCAAGAGGAAGAGGTAGAGGGAGGATAAGAGAGAGGGAGGATGAACTGAAGTCAGTTGAAGAGCTATTTGCAGCATAACCGTTGAAGCTGTTTGACCGTCAGGCTACAGGTGATGCTTCTTCTGCAGGTGGATGAGGAGATGTGGTCAGACCCAGTGAGCTGGTAAAATGCAGACTAAGTCTTTTTCTCTCCTCTGTTTTTATAAAAATATTTGTTTGTATTTATTTTTCCTCAAAGTTTTCCTTTCACTTTTCTGTATTTGACAGAGGCAACATTTGTCTTTACACACTGTAAGTATGTGTTGTGCAGGAATGTTGCAACAATTTGTTTTGGAGAAAAGTAAAAGTATAACAACACTATATTTGTGTTTCTCCACACATGTTTGTAAACTTGAACAATCTTTTTATGCAGAATTCTCTACATACAGAACACCATAAAAGATGAGTGTGCTTTAGATAAAGCACCACAGTGTAGTTGGTTGGACAAAGTGTCTTGTACTATAAGGGAAGTGTGTGCCATTTGGTGCCAACGTTTTGTTTGTATTTATGTAGTTTTGAGTGCAGTGCTTCATTTTGCTATATGAGGTGTTTTGCACTTTGGGTGTGTGGTTTTGTGAATTGTGTAAAGTGTTTTGACAAAATGAGCCCTGTTGTCACAAAATGTGTTTTAGCAATTGAAAAAACTGTAAATAATGATGCTTTATGTGAGATTTCTGTGTGTTAGCAACTGAAAAAAACTGTAAACTTTCCCACAAATATTTGACTCCTCGTGATGGATATTGTAGCATCGGTTTAGGATTCAGGAATTCAATTGTGAAAATTGTTAAATCATACAGATACATGTGAATATTTAAAAGTCTGAATTCCATTTGAAATAAAATAAAAAGTTATCTGATATTTAAAAAACAACAACAACTATTGCTGCAACTTATTGATCTTTATTAAGGAAATAATATACAGCTCATGAGTGCAGATTATTATTATAACTGGAAGTTGTGCTGCATGCCGTTCATGTATCAGTTACACAGATCTTGGCTGCAGCAGATGTCAGATTCTGAGCTTCTCCGCTCCTTGCACTCATCTGCACTCATGCAGCCCTTGTAGTTGTTGTAATCTGTGAAAACATGATAAAAATACGAATGAAACATTGAAAGTATCGACTCTAAACTGGTCCAGGGTATTTCTCTTTTTCTTTATTGTTTACAACACACTAGAATGAGTGGCCTATACTCAGGGGCGGCCCCCCTAAGCACCCCCAAGAAATATGTGTATTATTTTTTTTTTTTTCGAAAATTATTATTATTTTATTAATTAAATCTGAAAAAATTATTGATTACATCAATGCAAATGTGAAACAAATAAATGTTTGACCAAAAACATAAAGCCAACACAGGTGATATGATTAGGCCAATGGCCAGCATCCATTCGATTTTTGACCTACCCATAGGGTAAATTACTTTGTGACACTTGAGTGACTTCCTGTTAGCTGGAGCCCTAAATGATTTGCTAACAGCAAAGTGACAAATGGATAGTTTTTTAGTCCTTAAACGTCCACGTGTGGACACTCAATCAAAACCACCTGAAAGCGAGAAGGATTCTACACATAATAGGCCTCGTGAGTACAAGTAGCCTTACTTCTGGGTCCTGTTTCATTCAAGCTCTGCTCTGTGTGTGTGTGGCACGAGCCATTTTGTGTGTGTGTGTGTGTGCGCAAGCGAGCGAGAGAGAGAGTTCGCGCACCGGTGGGTATCTACCGGAGATCGTTGTGGTCAGCATCTGGGTTGCTAGCTAGCCCAGCTAACGGATATAAGAGCTTTTTTCAACAACAAGGTGGAGGGAGAACTCTCTCCTGTCAGACGGAGAGTCTCAGATAACCTCAGCTCAGGTGAAGTAAAGGACTCTCAGTGTTTAGATAGTTAACTTTAGTCTAGTTATCTCAGTGGGTCTCAAACGGTTTGTTTTAAAAGGGGAGTGATTTGTAAAATATCTATAAAGAAATAGAAAATCTGTTTACAGTTCTGTTTCATATGTATGTTGAGAGATACTGTATATCCATAGATCTCTTCATTTTGGCTCTCAAAGTGCACCAGATTGATGCTTTTAACTTCAATATTTAAAAATAAATCTTCCCGGGGGAGCTTGCTGGAGGAGGACCCTCCTAGAGGAGGTGAGGACCACTCCCCACTTGTAAAAATAACACTTTACCCCTGCTTACACCTATATGCCGTGAGCTGATTACCGAGCCTTCATTGTAACAGTCGCGGGTGCACTGTGTGTGTGTGTGGGGAGTGTTGCAGTAGAAAATTCAACTGTAGCGCTGGTGCATTCATGGGAAACCCTTAATGTTTGAGCACCCTCTACTGAAACGTCAAGCTACCCCACAGCACCCCCTAGAGCAAATCTCTGGCGCCGCCACTGCCTATACTTACAGTATTCAGAATGCTGCCACAGACTTGATAGAAACCGACGCAAGTCTCAGCTGGGCCTGAACATATGTTGTAGTTGGATTTGCAGTAACAATTCAACGCTTCACCTGGGAAATAAAAGACAACACGTTTGTTTAGTGCTGCATTTTCATGACTCCAAATAATAAATAAAAAACACAAACACAGTTCAAGATTAATTGGTTATTTGATTTTTTTGTTGTCTTTGTCATAATCAGAAACAGGGTTATTGCCAAGTAGATTCACACATACGAGGAATTTACATTGTCCATACATAAACACAGTTAAAGAAGATCAAAGGTAAGAAAAACAACCACAAAGTAAATGTAAAAACATTTAAAAAACACTCCTCCAATAAAGGAAATATTGAACAGACAGGAAGTTATTTTCTTTCCTCCTGAACACTGAACTCACCCTGGCTGACCACCACCAACACCATGAGAGCGAGAATCCACAGTCTTTCATGTTTTCACGTGTCTGCAGACCAGTGTCGGTTTTAGAAAAAGCAAGGTGGATAAGCTTAAGAAATCAAATGCAATATTATGGACACACATTAGTCATGCACATTTGAAAAAAGACAGCCCACCTTGTTTAGTCCTGCTGCGGTGTTGATTCTTCAGATGTGTGCTGCCAGAGTGTCAGACTCCTTTTATTTGGACTGTTGAGCAACTGATTCAATCCAGTGTATCATTAACTCTAAAATGTGTTCTTACTTGCCAACAAAGCAACTTATCAAGGCCAGATGTGGATGCTGAAATGCCAATTAACCCGCTAATCAGCCAGGAAAAGATGTAAATATTACAATTCTCATATGTTAACATTTGCTAATGTAAGCCTTGCATAGTCTGAGTTATTCAGACGTAGTTTAACTGGATGAAGTCACCTGTGAAGAAAGTTGCCTTAAGCCTAACGCCCTTTATGTATAACATCTTACAACATGTCTCTGCAAAGAAAAAAAGGGTGGAAGTTTGAGATCATAAAAGGTATTGTGTATTCATAACCACATATCATTACATTACATTGCATTTAGCTGACGCTTTTATCCAAAGCGACTTACAATAAGTGCGTTCGACCAACAAAATACAAACTTGAAGAAAACAGAATCATATAAGTACATCAGGTTTCATAGAGCAA